TATATATCTCAGTTTATTTCATAAATGATGTCTTGCGTATGAATAATTTTATAACGAGAAAGTATATTGGCAAACATGTTGATGAAAACAGAATATCAACAGTCTCGTTTAAAATCATCGTTTTGAAAGTTATATGGTCGATACAGAAACTTTGTCAGCAAATTCAATCTAAGTCAAATGTGCTTTGACGTTTTTAATGTTACTTGTTAGACCGTTATTTACACACGATGTGTGTAACTGGTCCGCAGGGTATGCCGACTCGTCCATGGTACCTGATCCCATATTTGATGTTACACAGGTCCATGATTGCCCTGTTCCTGATTTGTATTATTTGAATGGACCTTTGAGCTATATATTGATCGTTATCTCCATGCATTTCATTGCAAACTTCGAAACTTGACAGGTAGTAGGCATCCCAAGAGTTAGAATTCTATGCGTGTCGGTTTAGTTTTGATTTATCATATCACGTGGGTCTAAGAGTTGTAGTACTTACTAGGGCTGATTATTTGGTTAAAGTCTTGGAAAACTCGTATTACTCAAGTGATCATGAAATCTAATAGCATTTTTAGCTCTACTGGTCAAAGAACAGAAGAGCTTATGCGATAGTAATGCGCCCGTCGTCCGTCCGTCTGTCTGTGACAGTGTCTGTCCGTCTGTCTGTCTCTCTAGCTGTCCGTCTGTCTGTAAACAATTTTTTTTTTTCAAAATGCTACTCCTCCTACAGTTTTGGTTTGATTTCAATATAACTTGGCACACAGTTCACTACACTTAGATATACACAAATTAGTTTATCGGTTTTGGATTTCGATGATCGGTGTTGCCATGGTTACTAAAAATAGAAATTTCTGTGAAATTCCTTTAAAACGCTACTCCTCCTACAGTTTTGGTCTGATTTCAATATATCTTTGCACACATGTAGACTACACTAAGATACATAAGCTAGTGCATCGGTTTTTGATTTCGATGAATGGTGTTGCCATGGTTACTAAAAATAGAAATTTCTGTGAAATTCCTTTAAAACGCTACTCCTCCTACAGTTTTGTTCTGATTTCAATATAAGTTGTCACACTAGTAGACTACACTAAGATACATAAATTAGTGCATTGGTTTTGGATTTCGATGAACGACATCGCCATGGTTACTAACAGAAGAATTTCTGTAAAATTCCTTTAACACACTACTCCTCCTACAGTTTTGGTCTGATATAACTTGGCACACAAGTAGACTTCACTAAGATACATAAATTAGTGCATAGGTTTTTGATTCAGATGAACAGTGTTGCCATGGTTACTAAAAATAGAAATTTCTGTGAAATTCCTTTAATTCACTACTCCTCCTACAGTTTTAGTCTGATTTTAATATAAATTTGGCACACAAGTAGACTACACTAAGATACAGAAATTAGTGCATCGGTTTTGGATTTCGATGAACGATGTTGCCATGGTTTCTAAAAATTGAAATTTCTGTGAAATTCCTTTAAAACGCTACTCCTCCTACAGTTTTGGTCTGATATTACTTGGCACACAAGTAGACTTCACTAATATACATAAATTAGTGCATCGGCTTTGAATATTGATGAACGGTGTTGCCATGGTTACTAAAAATAGAAATTCTGTGAAATTTTCCTGCAAAACGCTACACCTCCTACAAATTTGGTCTGATTTCAATATAAGTTGGCACACTAGTAGTATGCACTAAGATACATAATTTTTCGCATCGGTTTTTGATTTCGAGGAACAGTGTGCCATGGTTTCTAAAAATAGAAATTTCTGTGAAATTCCTTTAAAACAATACTTCTCGTACAGTTTTGGTCTAATCTCAATATAACTTTGCACACAAGTAGACTACACTAAGAAACCTAAATTAGAGCATCAGTTTTGGTTTTCGATTAACGTTGTTGCCATGGTTACTAAAAATAGAAATTTCTGTGAAAATCCTTTAAAACGCTAACGTCTCATTTCAATATTGTTGCACACATGGTTACAGTTTTTAAAAATAGTTACTAAAATATAAATTTCTGTGAAAATCCTTTAAAACACTACTCCTCCAACAGTTTTGTTCTGATTTCAATATAACTTGGCACACAAGTAGACTACACTAAGATACATAATTCTATTTATTGCTGCCTGTTGCAAAGTTTCAAATCCAAGTGCTACTTTTGTTTTGTTATACGTACAGACCAGTAGAGCTACAGTCTCATCATGCGCTCTTTTGAGGTCAAAAGGGGGTCAAAGGTCAAGGTAGTTAATTCATATATTCAGTGCGTGCAATCTTGAGAAGCTATTGTGTTTGCAATGACATTTTATACCAAACGATATCTGTCAAAGGTCAAGGTAGTTAATTCATATATTCAGTGCGTGTGTGTTTAAACGATCTGAAGAAGCTTTTAAGTTTTTTTCGATTAAATTTTATACCGAAACTCCTTATTCCCCTCCCACCCTTCTTAAAATACCCCACCACCTAGACCCCCCCTCCCACCGGGAAAGGACATTCTCTTCTCTTTTTCTTTATTGTGGTACACAGATTCTCTAAATTAGCTTGTTAGTGTGTGTTTTGACTGAATAACCCTTCAAAAATATATATAGTTCTGCCCGATGCACAATTTAATGGTGTTTTGCATGTGAATAGAAATACATGTGTACGCAAGTCTTTGACTTGTAAGCGGCATGTTACTACCCGCTATGGTTTGTGATTGGCGGGTCTGTTGAATTATTCACGCATCCAAAACTCCCATCACCGATCGTTAGACAATTAAAAAATCAACTCCATGTTTTATTGATTTCCTGCGAAAATACTTGGCAAGCAATTTTGTAAATACATTTATATATGAAAGTCGTAGCTGCCTGGTAAAGATGAAAGCTGTTTTCCGGAAAAAAGAAAAAAATGTTTTATTGGAGTTACTCATTACGAAATCAAACTGCCTGAAAGCTTCCAGATTCCGGTGAAAACTGGAAATAATTATTGATCTCAGTCTTTTTCCAATCATGAATTTCTTGCATGTTGGAAGATCTGGCCTCTTCTAGCTTTGGATCGATGTTGTATATACTCATTATTGTACCGTGGTTATCTTTTATCCATTTGAAAAATGTTCAATGAAAAATTGCTTATACATGTATTTACAATTTTGTATGTGTCTCAAGTCTTTTTACTAGACATTCAAAAGTACCATCGTACATTCTTGAATATAAGAAAAAAAGACGATTTGTCGTTAAACATTGGTGTAGGGACGAATGATCAATTAACACAACATGCTCCTGTTAAGAACCTATCTATGGTCTTTATGATAGTAAAGATTTTTATTAATTTTTTTTAAAAAATCAGTTTTATACTTATAAACATTTAATTAGAATAACCGCGTAATTGTACAAACATTTGGAAGGGTTTACGTCTTGGGGCATTGTATCTTGAAAACAATATATTGGCCAAAACAATCACATGGGGTAGGATTTCAGAGGATATCATCTATTATACAGATTAACGTTTTAAATTGTCTGTTTGATGCGTATGTTATATTATTCAAGATTTTAAGTCATTTGCGATTCATTTGTTTTGCAGAATAGATGTTTGCAATGCGAATCGATACCTATATTGATATAAATTTCGGAATATTTTGACTTTTATCCAAATATCATATTTGTAAAATATTTAGGAATTTGAACGCAGAATTAAATTAACATATTACCGAGTCTGGTACATATATTTATTTATTTTAATGTATTTGATATTTACTAGTAAAATACGTTTATGGTAAACTAACAACAAAATTTTATAATATTAACACGATGACTCCAACTTCTTAAACGCCAGTTTCCATACCATTATCACCTGCATATAGAGTTTATGACTTCTAGTTGATTTGACAAGCAAGAGTGTGCTACGAACAAACAATGTCTAATACGAGGCTACTGACAAATACGTTAATTAAACAAGGATATCAACAGTGTCATACAAAGTCAGCATTTTGCAAAGTCTATCGTCAAAAATCTATTCGTTGAGCCGAATGTTGACAAACATTTAGCATGATTACTCCAAAAATATAGATTTTGAATATATAAATCACACGCCGAAGACACGATATTATTTCTTTATTATGCCACACTACCAAGTATGTGTGAAAATATTTATTAACAGATCAATGTTGATTGTTTTCTTAAAATTCAAAACAATATACGATAATTTCGAAGCGTCGGTATAAACACTTCGTATATGAACAGGATATTCATTTAAGTCCGACGTCGTAATAAATCCAACGCGCCTTGCGTTAGATTTATTACAACGTCATAAAGAGGAATATCTTCTGAAAAGAATATATGCGTCCGTTGTCTTGTTCGGTTGTAGGGGCGTAATAAGGGTATATGAATTAAGTAAATCATCATAATTATTATATTTCGCATTCAAGTACAGCTGAAGACATTGTACTATTAAATTGTTTATTCAAGACCCTGATGATAACAATGTGATTCGATGACTAATGTTTTGATGATTAATAATCGTTTATATTACATTAAAACATGTACCCATATAGGTCGAACAGTATAATTAAAAATTGATAATAAATTTAGTAGACAATGAATGCTTTGTTACTACATAATAGACGTAAGTAATTTACTCCTAATATGCTACGATGACATGGATTTCGGAAAATAGTGAAATTTTAACAAATTCTTATGCTTAAAAAAATAAATGAATAAAGTGACCAAGTTAGTTAAACTGATGTTGGCGAAATACTGCAAGGTACTTTTACAGATTTAGTCAAATGTAAACGTTATAGTTAAAATAAGGCCTTTAAACATTTCTAAAGTAACGGCTTTTATGTGTAAATCCTCCACATTCAACTTATAAAAATTAAAATAGGCTAATACAGCATTAAAGTATCTCTGTCAAAAAGATATCTTTATATCTGTGCTCCTTAGTGTGTATAATGTATGTGTAGTAGTTTCACACATGTGAATGAAAACCACGTGACTATTTAGACTGCGCGAGCATAGCTATTCATTATAATACCTTGCAGCACGAGTGGCCAGCATAAATAACTCGTAACTAATTTACTACCAATCTCGCCTTGGCTAGCGTAGGAAGTCCAGACTATACTAAACGTGGTAAGGTTGGCTTTCACTTTGTGTCTTTTCTTTCATTTAAAGTTAAGTTTTATTAATACTTCACAGTTTAATAAAGCAGAATCAATGAATCATGAAAATGTTAAAAAGCCGGTAAATTTCCATTCAACATGGAAACAATTTGCGAGGGGGAAGAAAATATAACTCTGTATGATACACGGCTTCGATAAAAAACCATGTATAGGACACTTCACGTTATGATGTTAATTTTGTGAAGAAGAAAAAAAATAAATGAACTTGCTCCCTTGTACAAAAAAATCGATGAAAGTTGTATTATGGAAAAAAAATAATCCTCTAAAGTTTCCTGTCGGCATTGTACACGGCATGTTAGCAGGAAAAATCTTAACATAGATATATTCGAGGCCTGTCTTTAAACCCGTTGTTGAATAGATTATTAAAATAACTGGTAAGTCTGTGGTATATCTTCCATGAACAATGATAGTTAAAATCTAACGAATGAAGGTTTGAAATTATAGCACAATTCTCGGAAAGACGAATGTGTATCGATTAAGGATTTATATAACATTACTCTTTAGAAGATAACAAATTTCCGTCTCTAAGTTTACGTGTGTTTATATATAAATATGTTTTGAAATTTACAAATATTCATAGAACAGGTCTTCGATAAATGTATAATACTAATGATGTTCAAAACAAAACTCAAACATGTAAAGAGGGAAGTAAGTTTATACAGTACAACAAGATTGAATAAAGGGGATGTCTCCGTAAGACGAATTCGCTCTGACATATACAGGAAACAAATAGAATTGATAGCACGTGTTCTACTTTTTTTAACCAAGTATAAAAAAAGAACAGGCGGAAAAGCATGCTGAAATGATAGCTTTTGTGTAAAAGAGATGTCTCTCCATTAAAAAAAAAAACTATTAAAAGGTGTTTTTTTTGTGGGTTATTGAATAAAAGGGAATGATAAAGGCAATTTCAGTAGTGAGGGGGATAATCCATCTTCATTTTATTTTTGGTGTTTTCAGCTAAACCATCCTTTCTCTGCAAAATAATCTGAAACAAACTTGGAATATTACGTCTTTTGAATTATCTTAAAAGGACTTTACACTATCTGCTAAACTTTTTGATATGGAAGTGAAAGTTTTTAAGTCTTGTATTTATCGAGTAGTTGGGGTTAACCAAATCAACTTGAAAGCATTAAAATACTATTATCAAGCCATAAAAACTAACATTTGCACTTTGAAAAAGTGCAATCGGTCCAATGTTGTTGTTGGTTTCTAGGTCTATTTGTTATGTGATTGTACCGATTAATAAAACATGTCTGAGTGATTCAGGGCATTGAAATAATTAAATCCCCATATATAACTAGCAGTAGAGAACAATATTAGTATATATTTGATGCAGGGTATGCTGTAGAAAAACCATTGTTTAAGTTAAATACAACGAGAGACCTCGATCCCTATAGCCATGCAAAGACAAACAAAACAAAAGCATTAAATAGACTTCTAGCTACAAGTAGTTTTAGTTCAGATCAATATTTGGATTTATTGGATAGAGTTCGACTAAAGATGAATGGATTTAATGAACTATAGTTTATCTGAATTATTCAAATGATCAACAATATTGGTTTTGTCAGAGGGTAGTAGCAAAGCTAATATTTACATTGCAAATTGTTAACGGTATGTCTGACATTAAACCTATTTTTTATCGACAATGGCAAAGTATCGATATCTTCTATACCAAATGCCACCAGGAGAGACAAGTTGTTCTAGTTAACAATGTACATTGATCAATAACACAATACTTCACAATATATAATGTCTGTTTCATAATTTCTACAGCGTAAAGTGTTTGCGGTTTGATCTAATTGTTGAAATTGAGTTAATGGCCAAAGTGAGGGCAAATTAACTACATGTAACGATTAACCAAAAGCATTTACATTGACATCAAAGTACTTATAATAAATAAAGACAAGATCCATTTTCTTTTAACTAGAAATGAGTGATTCCAAACAAAACGGCTACTCCCCTGAGGGAGATCCGGTGTCGTGGAAGCAACAGGAAGCGGAAGCGCTCTCCTCGGACGGCTCCGCCACGACGTCAAGTGACGGACCCAAGCTCAAACGGCGGGAAGTATGGGCAAACAAACTGGACTTCCTGTTGGCCTGCATTGGGTTCTCTGTCGGTCTAGGGAACGTGTGGAGGTTTCCTTTTCTGTGTTACAGAAATGGAGGGGGTATGTACTTTTTGCAATTTATTGAGCATTAATTGATTAATAAAATATCGCTGAAGCACGTTTTCCTTTGTAATTTGATGCAATGATATGTATGAATAGCAAATTATAAGAATCTACATGGTTTAAATAGTGTTGATGTTATTTGTATATAAAGAATATATGTTTCAACAAAGAAAACTCGTGAAAAGTGGATATCCAAGCCCACACCCTGTCCCCTAAAAAACATACCTTCAAAATATTTCAAATTAGTTCCAAAGTTTATCATTAAAAATAACTGAAATGTGTTTGTTTAGAAGGTTTGTTATATCATCATCCCTCAACAAAAAATTACGAATATAACTGACCTAACAGTGTTCAGAATGTCAAAATATGTCTATCAAACCATGGGTTAGGTTAGAGGAGGCATAGTGTGCGTACATGTCAGATCATCAAGTGTAATGCAGAAAAAATCTTGAATAATATCAGTGTCAGATTGTCTGTATCATTATACGCCCGTCTTAAGACGGGACGTATTATGTTATAGGCTTCGTGTCCGTCCGTCTGTCTGTCTGTCCGTCTGTCTGTTAGCTTTTTCGTTTCCGGCTCATCACTTTAATACTACTAGGCCTAGGATTATCAAACTTTGTCATCTGATGCATCTTGGGTAGAAGGTGTGTCGCGCACAAAAATAGGTCGCTCTGACCTTTAATTAAGAAGTTATAGCCAAATATGGAAAAATCCTTTCCGGCCCATCAGGAAAACCATAAGACTTACAATCACACTTGGCCAGTTTATGCATCTTAGGTAGAAGGTGTGTCGCGACCTATTTCAAGGTCACTGTGACCTTTAATTTAAGTGAAATTTAAAAAAAAAATGTGTCTTTTTACTGTTCATTTACACATCCCAAATAATGTAAGAGTATTGCACTGTCCTTATTAAAAAAGTGTTAAATCAAGAAAATACATATTTTTTTAAAGCATATACTTGACAGCAATCTATAACAAATATAATGTATGTTAGAGAAATCCTACCTCTCCCATGAGTGTAATTATCCACTGGTCAAGAAGAATTTTGATAACAGAAAATTGCATGTCAAATTAGAGAGAAATTAATGGGTTTTGAGTGCGAGGATCTAACTGACAGAGCATTGGTGTTATCTATACACACTGTTTGATTAAAAATAGACTATAGCTCGTGTTGACTAGCTTAAGTTTTAAAATGAATTTGATGAAAAGTAATTAAATTAACTACCGGTAATTTGATATTGCATTATAGACTAATCTGATATTATGCAATATTATTAATTCAAAAACCAGCATGTCCATATAATCACAATCGGAAATTAAATCAACCCCCCAAAAAAATCTTTGAGTATTTTATATGTTTTAAAGAAAAAATTATAGTAGATAGTGCAGACCCATTCATCTCTTGGTAGTAATGAGTAGACAAGCATCCAGTTAAAGATTAATTAATGAGTTCAATGTAGGAAGGCTAGCTGTCTCAGTCGCTCTGATTAAGCAACCCTTTGGGGATTAGACAGAAGAACTGCTGGTCAGTTTATAACATATGTCATTTGATGGCCAGCCTTTTCTTTTCAAAATTAATTTGGTATAGATTAAGTTGTTAAGAAAAAATGATGGGCAATGACAAGGTCTAAGAAACCAGCACAGAAATTATCAGTGATGTAATAATTTATTATAATTGATGCCTACATCACAAGGGATGGATAAATATTTTAAGGAATGGAAAAATCATCGAAATCTTAGAATCAAGGTTGAGGTGATTTTCTTACACCTAAACTGTTCAAGAAAATTGCAATTTTTTTGACGGGCGTATCATGCTGTGGCGCGGCACTTTATTTTGATGTTGTTGGATAATGATAAGAAAATGTTACAAACATATAAAAATACATCCCAGTTAGTATGCTACGTTTACTATGGTACGGAGCCACGGCAATCTTGGCCACCTAAAAAAACGGGAAGGGCAAAAAGGGTTACGGGAAACGTCTCACATAAATTGTCTCATCTCCAGATTTTTAAACATCAAAAATACACACGGCGGCCACTTGCAGATGCTGAAACTTAGTATTTAAACGCAACAAAACGCGACAGCACGTAATCAAGTAACAGAAATCAAATATATTTCCATTCATCTCACGGTCCATTCACGTTTTAACAGTTTAGTCCGCGTTCTGTCACGGCTAGTTTCCGTTTTACACGTTCTGCACGTTTCATTACGGTCCTCACGGCAAACATTTAGCCGTTTCCTCGCGATAACCCATTGCTTACTAAGTGAACAAAGAATGAGCATATAAAAGCCGGGCACTGCAGAGAAGGAAAAAAATAATGCAACTGCTGCTGGGAATCTTGACGAGAGAGAAAAACTTTCGTCTTGGGAATCTGCTTTTCCATGTACAATGATTGTTTCTGGTTAGGAAAGAGGACCTTTTCCGGCGTCCAGTTTCATACGTAGCATTTGACAGAACGTGAACAAGAACTTCATAAGAACGCGAAAAGAGAGGGTTACTCAAATATTGAGGCCTGGGGGGAACGTGCTGGCATGATGGCATAGATTTTATCTATACGGATTGTTATCATTTGAAAGCAAAAGTTTTCAAATTTTGGAAAATAAAGTCAAAATCTCACATCGGGCAAACGGGGCTGCCGTGGCTCGGGAACTTGTAAACGTAGCATTACGTGCTTGGTTGTATATCATGGGGGGTGGAAATGGTCGCATGGAAAACTACCGCACGCCTACCAAGGCCATTAACATTTTTTGTGTGTCACAACAACTGCTGGTTGTTAGGCATCTGGGTTTCATAATATGTTTTTGTATGCTTTGTATTGTAAAATTATGGCATGATATCCATTTGAAAACCACGACTCCGTTATGAGAGTCATTATCAAAGAAGTGTCCCTGCATTGAGTATGTTCGATTTTCATTAGCTTTAACTTTCGTATTTTAACAATGTTTATGGTCTGTTCATTTTAAATAAGTAAAGAAAAGGTAATAGTCAACTCATATTCCACTGCACATGTTTAAATTACGGAATACAAAAGCTGGCAATGTTAATTGCTAGGCCAGTAGAATATATAAGTATCTAGTTTATACGTTTTTTGGGGGTGTCATTTTTTTATCTTGTCATTTATATAGCATATTTTGAACTTAACATATGAAGATGTCGACACACCTGAATAAATATATATTTTTCACATGTACAGTTTGGTTATTTGCCAAATGAGTTTTTCTTGAACTTGCACGTCAACATTCGTGCGTCCACTTTTAAGTTCTAGATGAACTGCAGAACAATTTTTACTTTATTTACTAAATATTTTGTAGCGCACTAAAAGTGCAGAAGTCTAAATTTATATCAACGACACTTCAAGTTGCCTTAAAGCATTTTCCAAAAACATATGTAAATGCATTTAATTGAAAGAAAATATGACTATTGGAATGATTGTGCAAACACTCGAGCGATCAAACACAGGAGTTACTATTCTTGATAATTATATATATCGACGTGTATTAAAATTTCATGCAATTTTCTTTCAACACGCACCTGCTAACTTAGTCGACTTGTTGAGACCCCTCATTCCCCCGCAATGGAATCTGCAAGACCTGCCGATATTTTCTATTTCAAGGTAGTTGGTGGAGATACAAATCAAAATGTGCGCCAGACTTTACCGAGGTTAGCTGCAGATCACATGTAGTCCACCGGCCTATTAAAGTTGGGATGGGTAACCGGTGAGCTAAATCTGTGACAAGTGAGCTAAAAATAAGATCTGCAGCTTGCCTGGAACATTTTCCAGAACTAGATCTATTTTACCGTGCACAAACGACACCATTAATACACATTTCGGTTGAGTTATCAATTGATGATTAATGATAGACAGACGATCAAAGACAAAAAAAAAAGCTTTCTAACTTTAGTGTCAGAAGTTATTACTGTAAACGATGACTCTTTTTTGCCCCCGTATTATTTTCGCCCTAAACGCAAGTGAGCATATTTAAGACAGGACTAATTAAAAAAAAAAACCCAGTAAATTGATTGGATGAATTTGAGATGGGAAGAAATTGTTTGCAGGGGCATGAAAATCACAATGTATAAGTTGTAATATATACTGTTATTCAGCAAGAAATACTAGTAATCCAGCAATCTCAATGTCGTTCCATGTTACGATGTTAAATGAACATTTAGGACATGAAAGAGATAGACAGTGTCCAGAATTTAATAAACTCAACAAATGTATTTTAGAATACAAAACAACAATGAATATATTGAAAATTTATAAAACATGCTGTCGGATTAAGATAGTAAGTTTATATCCCAAGGAGTATTATATATTTAGAATTAACGATGGTCTCTTAAGTACAGTGATATGCATGTCCATGCATATTTGAACGACCATCAGATGCCGGGACAATGGCTTGACCCTAAATTAACGTAATGGAAAGTTAAATCTTTTGAATTCCCACCAACAGTACTTTGTTGAGGTTCATGGACACTCGGATAGGAGAGGTATGGGACTCTTCTGTAACAATATCATGTTACCCCCTCCCGAGTAAGAATGAATTATTTTAAAACCGTTGTCGTTGACTGCGGCCAAAATTCTCATTATTTAACAGTGAAAAAAGGGATGGTCAACAAAAACATTTTTTCTTTTCTAGATTCTGTGGTATCATACAAATAGCGTAAGATACAACACAAGATGTGTTCAAATGATATTAAAACTTTTCCAGTTTTATTTTTATATCTTTTAAAAAATTAAATATACATTCTCCTCATATTTTGATAAATTAACTATTTTCTTACATTGTTTTGCACAGGTGCCTTTTTGATTCCCTATTTCACGGCCGTTTTCCTCGGTGGTATACCAGTGTTCTTTCTAGAAGTGTCCTTAGGACAGTATATGTCGGAGGGTGGTATTGGTTCATGGAAAATAACACCCTTATTTCAAGGCAAGTATTGTTCATTTTTCCATTTGTTGGGAAATGTACTGTTCATAGAATAAACGAGTTCAAAGTCTTCTATTGTATAAACAAGCGATACAGTAGTTATGAATACTTGTAATACCTTGTATTGAAAACAGATGATACCAAAATGTTTGTAGCAGAAAAGAGGATCATAAATATCGAGTGCTTTGAATGACTCAGGTGTCCAAAGCCATTTTGATTCCTCATAAAAGAATTATGCATACATTGCATTCTAATTAGAATTTGAATTTAAAACAAAATGACCCCGAAAACAATGATCCTTTTCTTCAAACATGCATTAAATCATCTGAAATGGTAAACCCTTCATTATATGTTTTCATGAAAGGTCTAGACTTTAATACTGGGTTTCTTTCAAGTCTAGTTCCTTGACGTCATCGTTGCTATTTCGATCAGTCTCTTGTTTTTGGTGCATTTTGACCTCCTTTAAATCAGTTCTGATATATGTTGCATAATGGAGTGAAAGGCGTATACCCCGGCTGCACCCTATAAACAAACAATTGCAGATTAAGACCAACGCAACGGCATGAAAAAAAAAACAGAACACCGTGTCATTCAATTGCTGCTTGGATCATATCGACGTTTAGTAGTCTTTAATAAGACTTCCTACGGATTAAAAGAGTTAAAAGATTTATTTACTAGCTCAGAATGTAGGAGTATGATCTACTGAGTACAAAAATATTCTGATATTTTCGGTCTACCAGGAGACATCATCACATGTCGTGGGTTTTTGTGTTAATTTTATTCCACCAACCCGGTTTGTATAATTAGAATGGACACAAAACCATTGAGTGGTGACGATGTCGACATAGACTGGACACAAAAACCCATTGCTTGTGACAACGTGCAAAGATCAGAATGGAAGTCGTTACAATGTGTTTAATCCGATTCTTAAGAAAGCAGATTAGGCGAAACATTACAAATGTTTGCAATGGTATAGAACAAATATCAGCCATTTAACGCCAAAAATTAAGCCGACACACAGAGAAAGAAAGCACAGGGTCATAGAAATCTCTATTCAATGCACATAACCTCGTTTCCGGGGTCAATAAAACGAATCCCAAATAACACAATAACACTTACCCTTTGGACAGAATTATAAAACTGGTAAGATTACTATGACGACAGAATAAAATCAGGATAAGGAAAGCTCACGTGACTCACAGTATGAGTGAATGAAGTGAAACCTGAAAATCGCCCTTTTTGCAGTACCAACCAAAGACAACCATGACGCCATAGTACTGTCAATGTCATCAACGTCAAAGGTGTTACAATCTCTTATGACAAATATTGCGAGTGTTAGGGCATGTTGTCACTGGACGAGCTATGTCGGAAGCCGTCCCTTTTACAAGTCCTTATCTTTTCCCGTAAGTTAGCATCGTTTTCCTGGAGAATTAGGTACACTTTAAAAGTAAACAGGATTCGCAGCGTATTTCAAGGTTGATAATATTACCAACACAATGTTTCTTAAATACCACTTGAAAGTAGAAATACAGTGAAACCTCCTTAATTTGGACGCCAATAATTCGGATGCTTCATTTTTCCAATGAAGTTTGTGGGGAATAAAAACCAAATAGTTCAGTATTCTGGGCGATTTGTTCTTGAGCACAAACGTCAGGATTATTAAGGCACGACTCTACACAAATGACATTGATTGAATAAAACAGAGATTTCAATTTCTTCATGATGAAGTTTTCTGAACACAAATATTCATAATACTTGTTCATAATTTCAAAATAGAGACACCTTCACTTTTTAAAATTGTATAAAAGACATCTGAGCATTTGAAATTCAGATGTTTAAGTATAAACATTTGAATTCAATGATTAGCAAGGACGTACATAAGATGTATTACTTACAGCATCCGATACATAATGATGTAATCCGCAAAACAATGACACAGGATATATTTTAGTTCTCAGGATGCGAAAAAGTTAAAAAAAAAAAATTAGTTTTAAAAATAAAATTCACGTCCCCATATCGAAATTCAGTAGTTACTGAGATTACGCAGCATATACATACATGTACATATCAAATTCAATATGTCCTTACATAAACATATATATATACCTAAATATTACCAAAATAGGTGCATTTCTCACTAAGGAAGCGATACACGAATTTTTGAAAAGTTTTATAAAAAGGCTAAGTATTTGAGAATATTTTCTGTATTTGTCTTCTTTTCGTATTTTGCATTATTCAGATTTCCTAATTAGATTTCTATTGGAAGAAACATTGAAAGAATCATAATGTAACTCTTCTAATTGGGAGATAAAAACTTGTTTGTTGCATGTCTCTTTAAGATGAATTGCAATATTTTTCCTAATTTGTTTTGCGGGCCCTCATTTATACCATTTAACCAGAAGGAACATAAAAAAACCTTTAACGTAAGACTTGACCAAGGATTGACCTCCCTAAAGCTTAAGGTAACTAATTGGAAGGTTCAAGTCGCCAGAACAAATATAAACTAGGCTATTGTATGCAATATTAGATACATAAAGTAGATGTCATAAAAATTCGTCATTTGAAACAAATGACCCTTCCAATACAGAACATATTTTGCTGGAATATCCATTATGTTTTTTACGTTATGAATGTTTTATTACGCTTGTAAAGGGAAAAGACTTTTTTCTTGATATTGTCTCTGTGCTAAGCTGGTAAAAAATGTAAATTCTGCCAAGCTAAAATGCAGTAATGAAGGATATTTCATTTACGGAAAAACGTACCCAGCCAAACAGACACTAATTCAATATCTTCATGTCAGCTTACTGGAAGTGTCAGTGGCTGTCCTAGATTTCAAACAACCAGGAAAAAACTATTGTAAAGTCAACTGTATGACGTTTGTTCCAAGTTTGTTGTTTCAGCAGCGATTCTGATGTTGCCATTGAAAAACATTGCAATCTAGTTGTTCGGAAACAAAGATAACTTTTGCAGGATCTTGTGTCGTAGTGTTAAAAACCATCAACAAGAAATCTGTGAGCCAATGCTCACTAGTAATACCCCCGCTCTGATGTAAATAAGCACTACCATGTTAATATACACAAGTTCAATTACAGGCAGATGCACAGAAAAATATAAAGTTGACATCAGATTCATATCAAAATTAATCCCACCATATGGCATGCCTCAACAAAGAGTGTAATAAAATTTCAAGCATCTGCTATGAATAGCTAATGAGAAAACTGCGACGAAGATTTGTTATGTATGAAATGGACAGAGGCACAGACAAACAGGAAGTTGACATCGGATTTGAACAAAAATGTATCCCACCATATAGCATGCCTCAGAGAAGATTGTGTTAAAATTTCAAGCATCTGTGATAAGTAGTTGCTGAGAAAACTGAGACGAAAATTTTTTTATGTATGAAACAGACAGACGCACAAACAAACAGGAAGTTGACATCGGATTTGAACAAAAATGTATCCCAATGTATGGCATGCCTCAGAGAAGATTGTGTTAAAATTTAAAGCATCTGCGGTGGGTAGTTGCTGAGAAAACTGCGACGAAAATGTGTTATTATGAAACGGACGGAGAACAGACAAACAGGAAGTTGACGTCGGATTTGAGCAATAATATATCCCGCCATATGGCATGCCTCAGAGAAAATTGTGTTAAAATTTCAAGCATCAATGATGAATAGTTGCTGAGAAAACTGCGACGAAAATTTGTTACGGACGGACACACAGACACACGGACACACACACAGACAGACAGACACACAAGGGTGTGTGTCCTTCGGAGCGGGGGTATAATAATGTCGATTTGGTAAAAGTATACATGCACCAAATCATAAAATTACATGAATATTCATAGCTTTTATTTAAACCAAAAACACAATAAAGGTGGAAAATCTTTGTTATTATGCACCAATCGTTATAGAAAGGAGATGTATCCTCCTTCCCATCCCCTTTTATTGGGGCCTGGGACCTACATATTGCACAGGAGAGGGATTAAAGATCCTTTAATGAATATATTGGTTTTGAATAATTGTCTTTCCACAATTTTTTTTATTAAAATAGAAAATTTGGTGTTAGGACTAACGCCTTTTTTTCTATTTTGATAAAATTGTGAGAAGAAACTATTTCCGTGAAGCAGAAAATGACGAAGTATAAAATCGTTTCTTTTTTTTCTAGGAATTGGCTATGCGTGCACTATTATTGTGTTCCTGCTAAATTGCGAGTACAACATTATCCTAACCTGGACCTTTTACTACCTGTTTTCCTCTTTCAATTCCGTGTTGCCCTGGTCTCATGGCGACAATGATTGGAACTCGGAGTTCTGTCGACTTGCTACAAAGAATATGACTGCCACCAACACAACAAGTCTTTTGTCAATGGTCAATAACACAGTAACAACCGTGGCATATTCAATTGCCAATAGCACCACTACAAGCGAACCAATCAAGTGTGATCCTGTCACAGAATTTTGGGAGTATGTATTACTTTTACTTTTCTTTTTAACTCCATAATAATTACAGGGTACGGGGTTTTGCTTTATAGGATATACCATCTGAAATTATTTTCAAAATTTTGTTTAAAAATAAAAAAAAACAACCATAAACGATACTTCAAACGTAGCTTACGGATAATGCTGTAGAAAAATGTAAAAGTTTATTTAGTATTATGATATGTATTTCTAAAAATATTTGTTTATTGTAGTGTAGTGTTCAGAGTCGCAATCTGTTCCAGTTTCTTTTCAGCTCCTACCTTTGATAGAGGTAAGAACTTCGACCAGTGGGCAGAAATATGCGACTCTTAACACGAAGGGTGTTTCATACGATCGTCGCAGACAACACAGGCTTACGCGCATTTGGATTCACTCGAGGTTTTGCGATCGATGAATCACCCTTTTTAATACATTTGTGTATTTATATTTTATGTTCTAGTGTAATGAGAATTAATGATTGTTGTAAATATTGACAGTTTATTTACATTTAAGTTTGAACTTAAAAATGGTTTTTGCCACGTACATTGTCATCTGATTAACAAGATGTGCATTAAAAATCTGTATTGTGGCTAGACTAGTAGTCAGATGAGTAGTTGGATTATTCATGTGAAAATCAGGCAAATAGTATAAATTTTTAGCGGGGAGGGACAGAAATCGAAACCTTATCTTAAATAAAAAAAACTATACCAGAAAAAAGGAAAAAAGGAAAGTATACAAATCTGAAAATCTTATTTCATGGTGGAAGCAACTTCTTCACACAACCGAATTTTATTCATACATTACCTTGATTTGCCTACTGCAACAAAAAGGAGAGGGCAACCTTTTGATTAACACATTCATCCGCAGCAAAAGGGTATATGAACTACGTATCTGAAAATAAAGTGAGAATAAATTTATATATATGTGTGTAATGGATACCTAAAAATATTAAATCTGAGTATCGGAATTAAAAACGATTGAATGCTTTATTCACTTAGAGATTAAATACCCATGGTATTACCTTTGCTGCTGATTTGTGAAGGAATTGAACTGCCAAAATTGAACAAAGTATTGATACCAAACATTGAGGTCGACTTTTCTCAGTACCGATTTAACCATTCATATCAAGAAATATATCAGTACTCGATCACTGTCTTTTTTCTTTTTCCAAAACTCATCAAATTTAAAAAAAAAGTTTTTGTTCTCTTGGAAGACTCATTTTTTCACTACAATCATACACTCTTTTAATTATATCTGATCCCCTTTCTTTTCTTTCCTTTGGAAAACCATTTTGCTGCTGAATTAGTCATAATACTTTGTCTTCATTGCACATTCTTGTAAAATTAGATCAGATGATATAATATGTAGAAAGAGCCATTCTAAGTTCAGTACCGGGTTAACCCTATCTGCATCATCTAGCATTCAATTCAGTTCCTATTTCCTAGAATGCCATAATTTCAAGAATAAGTAATTTATTAGAAATTAGACTTGTTTGTAGTCGAAACATTTCTATCAGGAAGTTATAAGGAATATCTAAACGAACATGCCATTATACAGAACAACGTAGTTTTTGTTAATTTATTATGTACTGAGTAAATTTTGATATCGACCTCAGATGATAATATCGTTTTTGATTGTACACATATGAAGGATTTCCTTTCTCAGAGTACACTGGTTGTGAAGGTTTGACTGTGATGATTTAATATCTACCAAAATTCATTTCCAGCATGTTCATAAAGCAGGATTTCTAGCTTCCAATTCTCAATCCTTACAGATATCGGAATATATTTATAACATGTCTGCTAAAACAGGAATTTTATCAAAATGCGGGGAGGAAAGCTTGGGAACCCTGCTTTTTGAAAACACTAATGTACACTGGCATTGGACATCATGCTGGTTTTGATAGCCTATTTCAGAGCATATATCTTTTCCTATAAAATGAACTTTATTGCAGCTTTACACATAAGTTTATGTATGCAAAATTATGTGATATAATCATCTCCCTGTAAGCAGGAATTAATGCTCACACCAAACAATCAAATTTTATGATAAGCAAAAAGTTCTCTGATCTTATGTTTTTATTGCAAAGAAAACGCAGAAATGTTGGTATATTTTTAGAACACTTTTCATCAAAGAAGCCCTCGTTAATGTTTTGTTATTAATGATGGGTATAACCGTTTACATCACGTGATTATATCTGTTGTCAGTGTGAGTATTAACAACTGTCTATTAAGCAGCAAGATCTGAAGCAGTTCAATTTTCATTACGCACAGTGTAATCATTTTTGGCTACATAACTGCGAAATCAAGAAATATTCACATTATGTGTATAATTCAATTTGCAAAGACTTGTAAAAAATTGTTGCCAGATTTGATTAAATGTGAACAACAATGAAAGTAGAATTGCAATAGATTACCCAGTAATAAGTATGTCTGGGATACTTACTGATGGAATGATTTTTTTTCAAGATGTGTAAACTGCAAAGCATTATTAGGAAAACAAGAATACCAAATAAATTTATTCTTTTGAAAACTGTTGAGGAACAAGCAGCGAAAAAGTCCTTTACTATGAGACGTTTGAACAGTGAATTGACAGATTTTTTTGGTTGGAAGGGGTTATACTTCCTCATTTCATAGTAATCAAAAGAACTAAAACACAAAGAATTTAATCAATTGTCCTAAATATGAATTACGTACAATTCATTTTTAGGCCACAAAAGATGAAAAACAAAACCCGAAGCACTCCTGAAACAGTTGCAAAACACTACTTATTTCAATACCAGCTAAAATCTTTCAATTCACAATTTAGCAGAGATATTAAAATTGTTGAATTTAAGCAGTTTATTGGTAATTAAATTAGGAATTAAAACCTTCATAACCAGTAGTTCTGAAAACAAAATGTTTAATGACAAGAAAACAGTCTTCAAAAGTTCCTTTACAAAAAGACACGTTTTGTTTTCAGAATCTGTCTCTGATAAAAACATACAGCATTATCCGTTTAAGTTTGAAGTGAAGATTTTTCTATTATTCATAATAATTATCTGATTAATAAGCGATGTATTCATCGCGGATGAAAACAGGCGTATGTATACTAAAAGTTTACTGCGCCCAAGATAACACACAGAAATCACGTTCTTCAGGAGAAAAGTGCTGCAACTGTCCAGCGGTGTGGACCACGCTGGGACCGTCAAGTGGGATCTGGCCCTCTGCCTTCTCTTATCATGGATAGTCGTCTATGGCTGCATATGGAAGGGCATTAAATCCTCGGGAAAGGTGATGACTTGTGTCGGAATATAGATCCCTCCCCAAACTGAGGGCTTCTTTTGTTCAGCGACACAAAAATCTTCTTCACTCCCTTTGTGAATCAGTATCCATGAGCTAAACAAAATCCCTGAAAACAATATTCGACATTCCCCACGACCAAGGCATCCAATTTGTACAAAGTTTTCTTGTTAATCTAATTGTTTTTTGAGCAGGTTCCACACTTTAAGTGTCAAGAATTCTTTCTTCGACACTTCCTGCAACGTTGGAATGTTTCTCTTGTTTTGCTTCTTTAGCATAATGAGACTTGACATAAATTTGCATGCCACATAAATAGAAACTCTTGATTATTACAAAATTTGTTGTAGATACATTCACATGAATCACTTTTATTACCTGCCAATTCCTGACATCTTGTTTATCTTTTACCCAAATAAATTGCAATACTTTATGATAAAAAAAAATTTACCGCTTTTATTCAAATGCCTATGATTAAAGTCATCAAAATTTTGATACATTTGTCAATTTCACTTTAACTTTTTTTCATCCAGTGTCTTCCTTTTTTACTAGGTCATGTACTTTACTGCCACCAGCCCTTACGTACTGATGCTGATACTTTTGATTCGTGGGGTCACGCTGGACGGGGCTGCCGAGGGCTTGAAGTTCTATTTGTTTCCTAAGTGGGAAAAATTGGCTGAACCACAGGTAACCTAAATCTGTCCTTAGATTCTGAAATAAAATGGAAATAAATCTCTGATTTTGTTGAATTTTGCTTCATTTTAAACAAGAAAAACTTGGTAAAATTCATGCACAGTTGTAGTTTTCAGAACATGAGGTACCCGATACGAAGTGTTGCATGAATAGATTAATTCATATAAAATGATTGACAAATAGTTTTATTTTGAATGAACAAAAAATGATAGAAAGGAATGAATAAAAGAAATTAACTGTTGCATAGTTGATTCCTTTGATCATTTTTAGAAAGTTAGCCTCTAGCCGTATTAGGGAAAACACATATCTGAAAAATAGAAATAACACTTGGTTTCCTTGAATTGTTTCCTTTTCAAAAAGATGGAATAACTAAAAATTTCATTTTACGATTGTTACATAGGCAAATTACCAATTCACGTGATACAAAAGGATGTAAGTCGTGATGCAAGAGCGTTGTACTCGTGTTATGGCAATTTTATAAATTCTGAATAAGGAGCCTACCTAAGTTGTAGGCCATGTGTCTTATCCTTTCGATATGTTCAATTCATTGCAAGAACAATGTTTTAATAACCTAATACATGTTCCAAAATGTGATGCATAGATAATTTTTTATAAATGAGCTTAAAATTAGACATGAACTTAAACGAATTGATGAATAAAAAATTATTTCAAATATTGTTAATGCGATTTTTGATGATCTTAATTTATTAATTGTATGAAAAATTTCCTTGATCGAAATCTTTTTGTTTTATTAAACGACAAGAGTCAACGAGTTTGTTTTATTATTGCATCTACAATATTTAGACTTTCCACGTCGATTTAGACTGCACCTATTCAATTGTTTAGGTGTCAATATTTTTTGTAATGTATTATAAATATTTCATTTCGAAATCCCGGTACATTGTATCGGTTCCAGTGGAATGAAATTGGTTGTTTGAAATGTGTTTAATTCATGTCTGTGACCAAATCACATCAGTTTTCCAAAGAGCATCAAACATAAAACAAAAAAAAAATTCCCTTCCGATATGAAATGTTAATCAAACATTACCACGGTATAACTAAAACAGCGTCGGTTGATAGACATATTGATCGTTTAAGACAAACTTTTACCAAAGTAGAGCAGCAGCTAAGATGAAAACGTGCGAAATTGATTTAGGTAACCATAGAAACATGTATTCAGTCAATTCCTCATTTGTATAGGAGGCGATGAGCGATGGTGTCAAATCTGGGCATAAATCAAAGGTGTATTTTTTTAAGGTTTAGATGAGTACAATGCAAATAATATCCTTTTTAGACATACATATTTGTTTTAAATGTGTTACTAGTATTGATGCAAATTGAAAATGCAGGGAGAAATGAAATGAAAAATGACAATTATTCGGACTTCCATATCTCTCTAACCATAAGATATAATAATACACAAAAATCTCGGAAATTTAAGAGATCGATGAAGAAATTTTAAGAATTCGAGCATTATTGATTTTAGGCTGGATTCTTTGATCTTGACGGTTTGTCTTGCATGTATTTTTTTATTTATTTTTTTTTTTTGTAATATCTTCCAATTACAACATTTTACAAATTTCTATGCTAAATACCTTTTATTTTACCTGAGCAGGTGTGGGTTGATGCAGGAACACAGATTTTCTTCTCCTATTCCATCAGTTTAGGAACTCTGACTGCCCTGGGAAGTTATAACAAATTCAGACATAACAGTTACAGGTGATTAGCTCTACCCCCAGTCAAGGTTTTGAAGCTTTCAATAAAACAGCAAGTGGTAAAGAGGTTTTTGAAAATATTTTTGCTTATTTTCAGGGACACTTGGATTTTTGCGGCAGTCAATAGTTTTACTAGTATACTGGCAGGTCTTGTTATATTCTCCGTCCTAGGATTCATGGCCAAAGAACAGGGCGTGTCTGTAGAAGACGTCGCTGAATCAGGTCAGTAATGCATAATGCATAAACTGCAAAACAGAGAATTAAAAACATGACTGAAACAAAAATATGCAATGTGAATTGGGATCGCCCACGTTATCTTGCATGTTATGAAAAAAAAACAACGAACTTGGTTCTGACTCTGACGTATTCTTTTACAGGTCCGGGGCTAGCATTTATCGCTTACCCAACTGCTGTTGCTCAAATGCCAGTTGCTCCCCTTTGGTCCATCTTGTTTTTCATAATGATCGTTTTATTGGGACTTGATAGTCAGGTATATGATATATATATATAGAGTTACAAGCTAAGCGAGAACTATATTGTAAGCGAGTTTTAAAAATACAATAATGATGTAAGATTGTAAATATAAAAGCAGTTATATTTGGATCATCGTTTCTTCATAAATTTGAACAAAAATAATGTTTGTCACTGTGAAAATTAATTTTAATCAAATATTATAAATAATTTACTTACATTCCATTTGTTACAGTTTGTAGGCGTTGAGGGTTTCGTTACTGCGTGTGTAGATATGTACCCTCTCTATTTACGCCGAGGAAAAAGGCGGGAAATTTTCACCTTAATCATCTGTATAATCTGCTTCCTCATAGGACTCTCCATGGTTACTGAGGTAAATATCGCAATCATTATATCGGTAATATAAAGAGATCATAAAATATTGTCAAATTTTTATACATTTTATTTCTTTTTAATTGTCCTCAAGGTAAGTGAATTTCATAGTGCAGATTTTTTTCATTTCAAATTCGTAGGTCGGTTGTGAAAAGAAAACTTAGAAATGTTAGAGTATAGCATAAGGGGTGGGCAATTATTTAACATAAATTAGGCAGTTGAGTGAAAAAAGATTTCAAATATTGTTAAATGTTCAAACTAAACGATAAATCCGTCCACCTAGGGCGGAATGTATGTATTTCAGTTATTCGACTACTACTCGGCCAGCAGAATTGTTCTTGTTGTTGCCTTCTTCGAGTGCATCGTGGTAGCTTACATATACGGTATGTTCCCCTCAAGAAGTCCCTCCACGTTAACTAATTTTTTTCCCCCTTTTTTTTCTTTTAACTTTTTTTGTGCAACTATTAACATTTTTGGCTCTCGAAATGAAAGGTCCAAATTGTGATTTTTACTTAGTAGTGGAGGGATTTCTAATATTGGCGGCAATTATTATTTTTTATCCCTAAAAAGTAAGTTACCCCTTTCGCCAGCCGCCTACCCCTTTGGTATAGTTACCCATTTCGCCAAAAAAGAGATGGATATATGCATAGTTCAGCGTACCCCTTGGTCTGTGTGGCCCCCATTACGCCAAACTTATGTATGTATTTATAGTATTTGCATAATGGACTATGTGTTACTTTTGTTGTACTACGGTAACGGGTCAATTTTTATTGGACCAGTACACTAAGACAAACAAACTTTTTTTGTTTATTAGTTCATTAACGTACTGTTCTGTGTATAAATAACTCTCATATATGAACTGACGAACTAAATACTAACACTGTTTCCGTTCCAAGAGCACAGTTTTATTTCTAAGAAGTTTGAAAGGTGTGTGTTGGCTTTCACTCTGATATTATTTATTATGCACAAAGTTAAATTTGTTCTCTGAGGCGGTATAGAAACGGGGGTTTTGTAAAATGGAATGGAATCCGTTTGCGTTTGAATACAACAGGACTTCGCCAGGAGCAGCCAAGAGCTCCAGTGTTATAAGGTGTACGATTTTATGTACAGGTTTTGGTTTGCAGTGGTCAATTAGATGACCACTACAAAAAAAAACAAAAAAAAAGATGGAAAGGGGGTGTTTCAGTTTTATTTTTTCAAGGTTTTTATTTAAAAATACATTTTCTTTCATCACACATGAAAGCGAATAGGGGGTGATCGATTTTCTCAGACAATTGATAATGTCGAGTAACTTTGGTTCAGTAAGTATGCCAAAGTAATGACAGACTATTATGCATTTTTGCCCAAAATAATCAAGAAGCAGATAATAAAACACTATGCTTTCATTTTTGCAGTTAACATATCCTGCCTTATTAAAAAAAAAACACGCAAATTAAAAAAAAAATAAATTTAATATGTTTAATACAGTAGTAAATCTTTAATAACATTTCAATGCACATATTGCTCTTTTACTAACGTAGCAAGAACTTGTTTTTAATGAAGTAATATTTAGAAAATTCATTTTAAGTATTTTTCTTTTAGGTATTAATCGTTACTATGACAACCTGGAACTGATGTTTGGATTCCGTATCTCGATTGTCATGAAATATGCCTGGCTCTTCGTTACTCCCGTGTTCACATTAGTAAGTAATTACATATACAATGTCATTACCTAGGTTACCGATTGACAGCTCTCATTTCTCTTAATTATACATCATGCACTGTTATTTTTCCATATACTTTGTCGAGAACTGGTAATTTACAAAGAAAATAATCACTAGCATTCAAACACCTTAAATTATTACCATGTATAGTGTAGACTCACGTATCTCTGGTAAAGTTGGTGACATAAATCAGTCATATTTCCATATCTTTTCAAATCTTCTTCTCATATCATTTCCCTTTCAAGTGAAATGAATTAATAATAAACCAGGACATAAGCGAATGTTTCTTTCTTTCAGACGATCTTCATAATGGGGGCTATCAGCTATTCGGAACTTACGTATAAAAGGAAAACCGTAGAGTACCAATATCCCTCCTGGGCCATAGGCGTCGGCTGGACGTTAGCCATGGTTTCTGTCATATGGATACCTATCATTTTTGTTAAAAGAGTTATTGATGCCAAGGGGTCACTTGCTCAGGTACATTGTAAAGTCATATACATGTAAAAGGCTATGTGCATAACATTTTATTAACACATGAAAAGGAATACAGCTGTGTAAGAGTTAACATGCTTGTCCTTCTATTGTCCCCTTTACATTCAGTGTCAAGTGTAAAGATAACCATTTGCTGGTACGCAAAAATAGAAAACATCTTATTTTGTTTTTAATTAAATTTAATATTGAATGAAACGTTAAGATATGACAGAACACAAGTATGGAATGTAATTATGAAATAACATGCGTAAATAAAAAAGAAGACATTTACATTTTAATTTTCATTTTGACTCAATTTTCAATTTATATATTTATATAGAGGTTAATGCTTACAACTCGTCCCATTTTGAGGAGACATCAGCTGCGTCAAGGTGAAGACCTTAGTAAAATTCAGCTGGATGAAAGCGACTTTACAGTGCCCGGGGCGACTGCTGGAGAGGACGATTATTCACGTGATGTACCTCTGCTGGCTAACAGTGTGGAATTACAGAAGCTGCAAAATCAACAGAATGGAACAAACAATGTTTAGTGTTGTTACACATGTTCAGCTTTTAACAAACTTCAATGCAAATTTGTTCACTTTTTACAAATGACCATGTTCACGAATTGTTTCTCATTTCAAAGAAGTCAGGAACTAAAACTATTTGGCAGCATGCAGTGATTTTGTAGAAAGTACCCAACGCCAGCCAAGTCGCGGTAATGGTACCGTGTCAACTAGAGAACTGCAAAAACAATATTCTGCTAATTTTCCGTGGAGCTTCCTAGGGAATTCGCTGAATTGTTCCGTTTGATCTCGGAAAGCAAATCATCATTTGTTGTATTAATATATTGTATATAATGATTTTACAGGAATTAACTTTAGAAAAAGATATCATTACCACTTGAACATGTGGGGTTTTTTTTATTAAAGTACTGACAACGATTTTTTAAAATCAATTTTTAACTCTCAACCTTGTGAAACAATGTAGATATAATTTGGAATGGATTATCGAATTGTTTTTATTTCTAAGATTATTTTTGTTTTTGTCAATTATTGTTTTTTTTTAATTCCTTAAAAAGTACTTGTTTTGATTTCTACAAGGTATGAGTTTTGTAATATTCTTTTCATATTTAATGAATTAAGCTTTTAGGGCATTCCATGAATGATATGTTTATACTGATTAATTTTTATCTCTTTAAAATCATGAAACATTTCGACTTTTTAATGTACAATGTAGTTCCAGTGGTGTAACACTTATTTCCAAATAAAAGTTAAATGTTTTAGTGATGTTGTTGCGTTTCTTTTTTCAAATGGAAAGAAAAAAAATCTTATCAAACAGTCTTGTTTAAGTAAGCAGCCGGCTCTATGGCGACCCAAGTACCTCCACGCAGGGTATTCTTACCCTCAGTATTTGTTCTTATCAATTTCTTCGTGCAGCTCGAAACTGTACATGCATGTGAGCCGTGTCACTGCTCAGAGGCCTTACATGCCAAGTGCCGGTCGAAATATGCAGCCTTTCAAAGGCAAGTGGTGCTTTCTTGATGTGAGTGAAAACCTCGTAAAGGGACAAAAGAATCAAACAAATGGATCAGGAGATTTTCTGTAAAAGTCTAGTTTGAAATATACTAAGTAATTCATTTTCTGGTTCAGCAGATCCTCCTGGTCCGGACACTCTTGGTTTGTTATATGTAGACAACCTTGACCGATACTTAGCACATTAAAGTGACCTGATGGTGGTAGTGTTTGGAAACTTTCCTCGACAAGCTCGTGAAAGCATCCAACAAAATGATGTCTTCGAATGCTACAGTTTAAGAAGGATGTGGAGTCAGATGATCCAGAAGGACTGGATGGCTCCAGACAAAGAGAATCTAGTTGACGGAATAAAGACTTGAACTACCGGACAGTTCTTATTTTGCACGATGACCTTTTCAGCAAATGCAATTTATCATTAGTCAAATGCTGACTTTTTCTTATTGATTTTTGGGCCATCGTTTTCACATGAATTGTCGACGGATTATTCCGTTATTTTACCGATCCTGACGAGTGACGAGCACACTGCGGGTGTGACCGGTCAGCAGGGGATGCTCAATCTTCCATTGCATCTGATCCCACCTCTAATGTTTTAGAAGTCCGTGTTTGATCTGCTCAAAGTTTGAATACTGTTCACTTTCTCTTTACTTCATTGTCACTTGTTGCAAGTTGTTGGCTGATGTCTTCGATCCATCTAACCGGTCTTTAAAAGGGAATGGTACTTTGGATACGGTTCTTGAGTGGAGATACAATTAATAAACATTCTAGTCGTTTTTGAAATATCAAAAGTTCTGGATATTTATCCTTAATATCGGGTATATGAACAATCTACTTTCGATAATGCCACACTGAAATCACATGGGCAGGTAGCATACTATACCGGTATTTGATTTCACGTAATTACTATACATTAAGGAAAAGCGAGCCAACGTCAGGCTTTACGCAGGGTCACAATATCTGAAATGTTTCCTTTTTCTTAGAAGATACCATGCAGTCAATAAAATAATAACCAGAATCATATAAAATAAATACTCTTTATTAAAACTGAAATTTCATTCATTAAATAGTGTTTCAGATGGGTTATACTAACTCGATATTCAGTGGTGCGAGTCGATGTTTTGAAGATTTTCGGAAGCTGAAAACGCAAACTATAGATCAATCCTTAATGGAAACAATCTTTTTCTTTTGATTTTTGCTATTTAAAAATTCAACCTGTCCGTTTTAAATATTCAATATTTAAAAAAGTAGAGTAGTTTGTGATCAAAATGGATACGAGTTCCTTAATGAGGAAGCATTTCCAAATAAATTCATCACCCAAACACATCATGATCAGTCACACTCACGATCTGCACGGATGCTACTGAGGATCACAAATTTGCATGCCTCTGAATTGGAAGGTTAAAGCCACTCTATAGAAACATTTGATGAGAAATCGCCAGAATATCAGTTGTTGAAGTCGTTAATTAAACAGACAGCATGCGTCGTGTATAACAGGGTGACAGGTTACGTGTTCTAGCAATACTACAAGTTGACAAAAAGACAGGTCGCAGTGACAAGGACAATGAATGTTTCCCAGCAGATTATGGTCCAGACACCGTGCTACAGGGTCTTTCCAGGATTGACTACGATCCAGTCGACCAAGGGCAACAAATTAGGCTCAGGACCGATTCATCTGCGCCATTGCCTTGACAAATCGTCTTGTAACAGCAAATCAGATAAGGTCTCAACTTCAAAGGATACTGGCGGCTTGCTAGTGTGTGGCAAGGCCATCAGGAATCGACCACCCAAATTTCACTTACACGCCCGACGTCCTTGTGTTATATTATTCCCAGTTTGAGGAATCGTCACATTAGGGCCCGACTTAAATGGTGTTGTTGCCATCAGCGCTCGGATAATTCCCGATGAAACCACGTAATGTACTCAGATGAAACGAGGTTCACTGTGGACTTCCTGGACAGATGTAACGGACGTTTCCATGATGTTATATTCATTAAATAAGGTCGATATGAATGTGGATCTGTAATGATGTGGGGAGGCATCATTGTTGCCCGCAGAACAAACTTGCATGTTGTTGCTGGACGTGTCACAGGGCAGTACTGGCTTTTTTATGTCCTTGTGGTCGTTTCATTTTTGAAGATGACACCGCCATATGTCACAGAATCGTTACAGATTAGCACTCAGTCCTGACCTTTCCCCCATGACTTTGGACGTCTAATTAAGAGTATGCCATGCCGAATTTGAGCTTGTCTGGCCAACCGATGTGGTTTACCCTCTTCTGACTCTGTTTCACAACGATGGTAAATTGAAGTTAACGTCAGGGAAACATTCACGTCTGTCCAGGAAATCACCAGTGAACATCAACTCATCAAAGGACATTACGAGGTCCCATTTGCAATTATCTCAGAGTTTATGGTGACGACAGCATTGGAGTCGGGCCCTAATGTGGCGATCCCTCCAACAGGGAATGGCACGAGGGCGTCGGGCGTGTAAGTGAAATCTGTGCACTCACTACCATGCCAGTATCCCTGAAGTTGAGAATTTATCTGATATACTGTTACCAGACGGTTTCTCGAGGCAAAGATGTGAATGAATTTGTTCTGAGCCTAAGTTGTTGCCCTTGGTCGCCCGGATTGTGGCTTATCCTGAACAAACCATGTAGCACAATGTCTGGACCATAATCTACTGATAACAGACTAGGGAAACATTCATTGTCCTTGCCACAGAGACCTGTCTTGTGCCAACATGTAACATACCAGGGCGCACGCAACTTCTCATCCTGTTGAGATGGTCTCTGTGGTAACGACTTCAGCTGATGTTATTCTTTTCTCCCAGAATCTTTCTTGAGAGTGACTTGAACCTTCCAATTCAGAGGCATGCAAATTTGTGTCACAACCCGTGATCATCAGTAGCATCCCGTGCAGATTATGAGAGAATAATTGATGTGTTTGGGTGATGAATTTCTTTTGAAATGCTACCTTGTTAAGGAATTATACATTATGAATTCGTATTCCTTTGTATATGTGAACATTTTGATCACAAACTCCATTATCCCTAATTTTTTTAATAGTATATTATGAATAAAAAAAATACGTTAATTGCTACAATTCTGATTCTAAAGCAGTATAATTACCGATTATGCGCAGGTCCGTAGGAAGCGATTTCAGTTAGGGGGAGTCATATATTTTCAGTTGGGGGCACTTTCAAGTGCCAAAAATTACTTGACATGCAAAATCAAAGGTCATCAGACATTTTACTGAGCGAGCACGAGCGTAGGCTTTTAGTGGCTATGTGTTCTATAGAGTACTATATGTCAGCAAAATTAATGAGGGAGAGGACAACCCCTTCCAGTGCTCCCCCGGTACCTACGGTCATGAAGCTACTTTAAAGATTACAAGAAAAGTTGATTTCACGAATTTTCAAACCGAAACCATTACTGTTATAAATGTACACGACTCAAATTTGAGATTCAAAAGTCATTTTAGATTGCTGAAATGTTTCCATCTCAAATTGATGTGTGCCTCATTTTTTTCGATTATTAAGACTGTTTTGAGGTCATTTTTTTTAATATGTACCCAAAGGGTCATCATGGAACTGGAATAAACTCTTTTTAACAAGTAATATATAATTGTCATGTAAAAAAGCATTTAATTTGCTATTTACGGGAAAATAAGATCTATATGAAGCATACACATTGAAGCTTGCAGAGTCATAATTTAAAATTGTCAAGAAAAAAAAGCATTTAATTTGCTATTTACAGGAAAATAAGCTCCATATGAAGCATATACATTGAAGCTTGCAGAGTCATGTTTAATCCGCTGATTCCCAAATAATATGAAAGTCTATGCTGTGAAACTTCCATCAGACCAGAACTATTGTTTTTTTCCAATGCCTGTATTGTTATGCTGACATTGCCAGTATTCAGATAACAAACGTTTCTACAAACTGGTTTCATCTGAAACCTCCAATTGACTTGAATCTGTAAGGTGACGTGTTCATGTATTATTACCATCATCAAAATATGTAATCTCATATTTCAACATGTTAAGTGCTTGCTTTCATCCGCCAAGTTTGTTATATTTATCCCTCTCTTCTCTTCGTATTTTGTAAAGACTTTTCTTTCAACTTCTGTTCATTCGAAACATTGAAATAACATTATTTCAAGAATTTATTTCGTACATAAAACTCATGTTTAATATCGTTAATCACGCCTACTTTTCATACCCAAGTAATTGAAAATTTGAGGGCAAATAGTTTTTGCCCTGTCTCTCTGATTATTGAATCTTTACCTTGCAGTGTGACTGACCACCGTTTGCAAAACTCTATAAAACTTGAATCTTGGTCATAACGTGTCAAAGGATGGTGTTAGTGCTTTTAAAAAGATGATATTAGTGCTTTAACACTTCACACGTATAGTACCTCTTATTAGTTTTGACATTTTGAACTTGGAGTCTGAC